TTGACACAGCATGCTTGTAGGCTGCTGTAACGGGGCACGGCACAAGCGCAGCAAACCAGTAATATCAGCAGGGGGCAGCAATGCGCCGTAGTCTAGTCTGCCATCGCAAACAAAGCAGGAGAAGAATAAGAATGGTTTCTGGGTTAAGGCAAAGCAAGTTTGATTAAAAGAATTACGGTCGTATTTTATTTCCCGACTTGTGGTTAATAAACTTGTTTTTCGTTTTTCGATTTCCAATTTCCAAACGAGAAACGGGAGACGACTCGTTTCCCGTTTTTTTGTTTACCTACTTCAAAACGAAAAAGGAAAATAGGATTGTTTCCCATTTTTTGTTTACCTACTTCAAAACGAATAACGAATGGCCGCAAAGTACACGGACCCATCTCAGTCAAGTCTGGCTTTTTGTTTTGTTTTGTTTTATTTTGTTTTGGGTTCTTTTTGTTTTAATTTTTTGTATGTGGGTCGATTATGTTTGTTAATCTGTTTGTATATTTCATTTTTTTGTGCTGAAATTTAAATATAATGTGAAATAAATGTATGTTTTCAATTAGACGGTATTTTTCAAGAAGAAAATAAAAAATAAATCCCTCAGTTCAGTGTGTTTTTGACTCTGGCTGGACGGAGGTGAAATATGTGAACCTGGGCTGTGGTTTACTGCTCTCTTCATGTCACAAACACTGTTTGACATCTGTTCATCTGGAGGTTTTTGTTCAGGCTGCAGGGATCTTTTCTCACTGTGGGGGTTACCCTTGTAACAGCAGCAGTAGTAAGTGGCTGAATGACTGGGTTTAACTTTCTGGATCTCCAACTCACAGCCATTCTGTTTATTCACAGCTGAAAAATCAGCTTCCTGAGGATGATTGTAACCTGTATAAACTTGACAATTTGTCTTCTTAATTTCCAGAATCTTTGTGAATGTTCCTGTGTCTTTTTTCTGATACCAGTGAACATAGTCACTGTTACACTGGTCAGTGCGTCGACAGCTGAAGGAGACTTTTTCACCAATTCTCCTGGTCATTGTTAAATCATCCTGAATCAGCTCTGCTGCCATGGCAACCAGCACTGTAGAGAAACAGACAGGTAGATGTAGGTGAGTGTGACAGTGTTTCTTAAAGGTTGACTTTGTTGAAATTCTGTTTGGCTGGAAACACTCACCTGAACACAGACAGCACAGAGCAGCAGCTGGGAGGAAAAGCATTTTGTGCAGTGGTGTTTCCTCTGGTGAACCTGGGGAGAAGTGGCGCTCTGATGCAGCTGAGGCCAAACAAGGATGAACTGTGAGATCAGTCTAGAGCCACGTGGTTTATATAAGGCCCTCATGCCGCCCATCAGCCCCATGCAGCGCTACATTAGAAAGAAGAAAAAATATGAACTCAAGTCATTTTAACAATGAAATTGATAAATTTAAATGTAAAGAATAAAATGCTTATTTTTTGTTCATCAAACTGAGAAATTCTGTTAGTGTTCAAATATCTGTTGTTGAAAAAGGAGATGAAGGTTACTGTCAGCCAGCAGAAGGGATTCATTTATTATTTCAACTCATTGTCTTTGTTTTATTATCATGATTTTGATGTCTTTTTTCCTTTATAATGACTTCTCTCTCTCTGTGTGAACTGATTCAGTGGGATGTTTCTTCATCTTGATTTTAATCTGACAGCAGATCAAAAAATCTGGGTCACAGTGGTGCAGATATACAGAAGAAAAACATTCACGGTACAACAAACACATTCAGGTTGGTTGTGAATTTTGTAACAAAGACTGTTCTGTTGTTTAACAGCTGTGATGAAAATTCAAAACTGTCATTTTAACCCTTAAATGTCTCCTTACATTTCTTAATTTAATTTAATCATTTAACATATATATATTAAACATGAAACGTTTTTCACATACCATATCACAAATTATTTTTTTATTCTTTCGTTCAGTCTCTTCATTAAAGCATTGTGATGTTTTACTCAGTAGAATGTTAAAATGTCATGTTTCTTCATGTCTGCTGCATCATCTTAGACACATTTCCCCAGAGTTGAGCTGGACAGATTCAGTATTTTTGTCAGCTTTGGGATCTCCACTAGAATGTAAAAATAAAGTTCAAAGGGTTAGTTGTTAAAGACAAAGCCTCTGCAGAGTCCTGAGAGTTTAAATCCAGGTGTGGTATGTGTGATATGGGAAGCAGTGGTTATGGTGCTGTTCTCTGGAAGGAGCTCAGGGCTCTGCTCTCTACTTCCTCCATGTAGAGGTCAGCTGCAGTGAGAGGCACTATTGAAACCACAGCAGAGCTCCTGCCTGTAAAAACCCATACTGTACTATTTGAAACAGGTGGTATTCAGGCAGAGGTGGGGGTGGCGAAAACGTTCTCCAAATAAAATGAAAAAACATGGAGTTTGTAAGTGAGCTAAAAACGACACAGAAGTGTTTTCTGACGATCAATAGAATTACATCATTTGTCTGTTTTATGATGTGACACTACTGGAGTTGATAGTTGGTTAGGCTCAAACAAGACATTAACAACAACATTAGTTTTAGGTTTAGGGAAAGATTGTGGTTTGGCTTCAAGTAGGCACTTTGTTAAAGTAAGGGGATCCTTGCCGCCATGGTTACAATAATAACCATGTGACCATTAATAATTATTTGACACTATTGTAGAACAATATGGCCTTTGTGATATATTACAAATTATCATCATATCGTTCCAAGATTTTCTTACACTGCAACAGTTATCACCTCATACTACACTTCAGTTCTTCAGTCTGTTGTGTGCGGCGGCTGTGAGGAATTCAACCTTCACACTGCTACCCTCTAGTGTCTGTAATAACACACTGTGTAGTAGCCTATTTACTTTCTGTGTTTTTATTTTCATTTTTATATCAGGCCTGCCTCTATCTTTGTATAAACAGTATGTAATGTTTTAAATTCATTTATGTTCTTTTTTTGGAGGGGGGCTGTTTGTTTGTTGTTTGTTTTGTGTTTTTTGCCAATCTAATGCTCCTCCTCCTCCACTCCAGTAGATGGCGGTAATGCACCGTAAAGCTGGTCAGCCAACCGTTATTAAACTCGAAGAAGAAGAAGAAGAAGAAGAAGAAGAAGAAGAAGAAGAAGCGGAAGAAGAAGGAGAAAGACGGAAATTCAAAGGAGAAACTTATTATTTTCATCCTAAAATCCTAGGACATTAAAAACGTTGGCGTCGTCCCCACAGAGAGACAGGCTGGTCTTTGTTGTTTAGGAGGGGATCTGGTCCTCCTGAGGATCGTTTCTCATCGGACTAAATCAGGTAACACACAAGTAAGAGTGTGTTAGCGTCACAGGCTAACTGTAGCTTCAATGTTTACCAACACTGTAAAAACAGTCTATGTGTAAAAATCAGAGACAAACAGTCTGATTAAAAGCAAAGACACACAAACTGAGCTAATATTAATGCATGTAACACAGGACCGTGTCAGGACTGAATCACTCGAAACTCAGTTAGCAAGTTGAAGCTAACGCTAGCCTTACTGCCTTTATGCTACCAGGTAACATACCAAGCTAACGTTAAGTTATCTGTATTCAGGCGTTAACAGGTGACAGACTGGTTTAATTTGCTAACAAGTTAAATCACTACAGTTAATACAGTGTAACTCGTGGTATCTGTTAACTAACACCTCAAAAGTCCCCTGACCTAAACATCATTAAAAATCTGTGTATAGACCTCAAAAGAGCAGTGCATGCAAGACGGCCAAAGAATCTCACAGAGCTAGAAGGCTTTTACAGGAGGGATGGGTGAAAATCCTCCAATACAAGAACTGAAACACTCTTAGCTGGTTACAAACAGTGTTTAGAAGCTGTGATACTTGTCAAAGGGGGAGCCACCAACTACTGACTATGCCTAAACTTGTGCTTCAGGCCCTTTCCTTTTCTGTTATTTTGAAACTGTAAACAATTGAAATTAAAAAGTAACCTTGCTTAAAATACTGAAAAAAATGTGCCATCTTCCACTTGATCCCTTTTGGAGATCAGTTCATCTTCTATTTACCTAACATCTCACAGTAAACAAAATTTTGACCAGGGGTGCCCAAACTTTTGCATGCCACTGTAAATGTAAATTCACCTGGTGTGGCCACACTGACCAGTGCTTTCAAAACAAAAGCATTAAAACATACTCAAATAAACTAAAATAGTGAGCACGGTTACATGCGCACAATACTCAGATAACTGGGAATAATCAGGGAACAATCCGATTTGACGCATTTACGTGCACTTCAATAATCTGATAATCAGAAAAACCTGGTTTACATGATTCAGTCCTTCAGTTGGATTTCTCCCCAANTGCCGGGGTTAACAAGGTCCGCTTCAGGTGTTGGGGAACCAGGGCAACCTGATGAGAAATGGGCTACTGGAACAAGACATAGATGGACTAGAGCAGAATGCAGAAGATGAGGATGAACCATGTTTTCAATTAGGCGCTATTTTTCCAAAAAGAACTTATTTATATTTATTATCCCATTCATTTGTATTAATAATTTACCAGAAAACAAAATAAATCCCTCAGTTCAGTGTGTTTGTGACTCTGGCTGAGATGGAGGTGAAATATGTGAACCTGGGCTGTGGTTTACTGCACTCTTCATGTCCCAAACACTGTTTGACATCTGTTGGTTTTTGTGCAGGCTGCAGGGATCTTTTCTCACTGTGGGGATTATCCTTGTAACAGCTACAGTAGTAGGTGGCTGAATGACTGGGTTTAACTTTCTGGATCTCCAACTCACAGCCATTCTGTTTATTCACAGCTGAAAAATCAGCTCTCTGAGGATGATTGTAACCTGAATAAACTTCACAATTTCTCTTCTTAATTCTCAGAATCAGTGTGAATGTTCCTGTGTCTTTTTTCTGATACCAGTAAACATAGTCACTGTTACACTGGTCAGTGCGTCGACAGCTGAAGGAGACTTTTTCACCAA